GCTATGGGCTCGTCTGGGGCTGGGTGAGGTGGGGGAAAAGGGGGGTGTTCGGGGTGGGGGAAAGGAAGGGGGCGGTGATGTTGGGATGGGGGAAAGGAAGAGCGGTCGGTGGGGAAGGGGTCTGGATTGAGATTGGGGGCTGCCGGGGGAGGGTGGCTGTTCACGGGGATTGGGGGATGCCGGGGGAGGGGGGCTGTTAATGGGTGGGGGTGGTGGTTTTGTTTTATTTATTAATTAAAATTAATTTTTATTAAAAAAGGAAAAATGTAAAACTTAAAATAAAAAATAAGTGAAAAATAAACATTCCAATCACGTTGCAACACGTGTCACAATTAACCTATTAAACATGTTACCGACCGCTCATATTCTATTTTGAGCAAATGCATGCCAAAAGTCGTTAATTTGGAATAATAAAAAAGTCGTTTTATTTTTGAAAGATTGATTAAAGGTCGTTTTTTTTTTTTTTTTGATAATTTTTCCTATAATAAAGGCAAACATGTGATAAGATTAATATCACAAAAACTTCACAACCCCAAAAAAAAATTGATAGTAACAATGATATAATTATAACATATATAACTCAAACCTAATATGGCCTGACTTGAAATCTACCTACTTTAAAAAAACCTCTATTAACCCGTCAAGATTCAAGACCGAACTAATTTCTATTGAACCAATGCATGGAAAAAACTAAATTAACCTAACTTTATCGAACAAGCCAAATTGACCAGTTTTAACTTGATTCGATAAATCCCACCTTGTTATTAGTGATATGGATTAACTTAAAACAGACCCGACAACAAGTATAGACACCTCTAAAGTCATGATTTATGACCTCTTTTGCAGCCTCTTGGGGTCGAGGCGTCGAGCTGAGCTATGCCCTATTTTCCCCCTTGTCTTTTAAAGCCATATTCCAATTTCTCCCTTGAAATATTTTCAACCAATTTCCCAAAACCAAAATTTATAAAGCGGAGAAAAAGAAAAAAAAAAAGACAAGAAATACTCCAAACACGCGCCACCGATTCACATTATCTCTCTCCTACCTTCATCTCCCCCACCCCCAAAATCCTCCCTCCTTGAAATCAAACCCCAGATTGAATCACCCAAACCCAAATGACAACCTATGGTACCATACCCACTTCCCATTCACCCGACCCACCTCCATTAACAAACCTCCATTTCATCTCCCACGCCAAACACAAGATCCAATCTACCTACACCACCCATCGCCGTCCATGGAACCTTCTACTTTCTCTCTCCTCCCTCTCCCTCCCCTCTTCCTTCAACGACGTCGTTCTCCGGATCAAAACCAACCTCTCCTTCTTCCGTATGAACTACGCCATCATCACCCTTCTCATCCTCTTCTGCTCCCTTCTTTGGCACCCAATCTCCCTCATCGTCTTCCTCTTAATGATGTCCGCTTGGTTGTTTCTTTACTTTCTTCGCGATACTCCGCTCTTTGTTTTTGGATACAACATTAATGATAAGATTGTGCTTGCGCTTCTTGCGGTTTTGACGGTGGTTTTTTCTGCTTCTTACTGATGTCACTGTGAATATTGTTGTGGCGCTCAGTGCTGCGGTTGCTGTGATTGTGGTTCATGCCGCGGTGAGAGGGACGGATGATCTTCCGCTCACTGCCGCCGGGTTTGATGATGAGGGTGACGCGCGTGGGGGTTTAGTCGTGGTGTTGGTGGGTTGGGTGAACGGCTTCCTTTGAAGGATACGGCGTCGTCTTCGTTTTCGGCTTCCAATTGAAATTTTGGACTGTGATCAGAAATTGTTATATTTGTGAGTTCGTTCTTTACTTTCAATTTTTTTTTGGTTGTGGTTGAATTTTGGTGAAATGGTAGTAGTTATAGTTTAAATTATTTTTGGGAAATAGGTAAATTGTATTGTCAATTTCATGTAATTTTTTAAGTTTAATTTTCATTTTCGGTATGATCATAGGTTGATGTTTTTTTTTTGGAATATTTAGTTTAGAAATTTGTATGCTTGTCTGAATTTGATTAAATTGTTATTTTGTAGTTCAAAGTCTCATTGAATTTTTTACTTTGATACGAATTTTTCTGTTGATTACTTCCCCATTATAATGCGAAATTTTTTCTGTAGTTGCATTTTGTGTAAACCTGTACCAGGTAAAACAAGTATGATGCCTTTCTTGTTACTCTTACTATGTTACATATAAGAACATGTATGATGAGGAACCCTGGTCGAATCTTCGAAATCAGATCATTTTTCTTGTTACTCTTACTATGTTACTAGTATGTTACATATAAGAACATGTACGATAAGGAACCCTGGTCGAATCTTCGAAATCAGATCATTTTTCTTGTTACTCTTACTGAGTCTTCGGATTAAGATCATTTTTTTCAATCTCGATTGTTTTTATTTTAGAGCTATATCCTTCAACTGAGGAAATCTTAAAACACCCGCTTAATAATATGAATGGATTATGATTTTCTACTAACACTTGCCCTTTCTTTTCCGAAGTTTTCTGTGCTCTTGAAAAGCAGTGAACATAATGCTGTATCGGCTGTATGTCGAAAACGACACCAGATTATTTGATCCCGGAGATTGATTTATTACCACTCCATAGAAAATTGTTGCATTCAAACAGCGTCTAGCTTGTGTGTTACTGCTTCATGTACAAGATGACAATTCTCTGTTTTCCTAATTTTCAGCGATTTTGCACTTATATTAGTTGCTCAATTGATGAACTTTGGAGTATAATAGAGACACGGAGATGATGCCACTTTGTTTAGATTGATAGGTTTTTTTTATGTAGATGAAAGGGATATTATTGGCGGCAAATGTGAATATATGTTTGTCATTTTGCATCATTTGAACATGGATGAACATGTAACAGATGTGTTGGACTTTTACTCTTGATGCCGATATTTTTGTACTTCATTTGTGTCCAAATAAAAGCTTCATTTAGCTTGTACAAGTTTTTAGAAAGGTGAATAAGAAAAAAAAATATATAGAGTAGTGGTGTTTGATTGATTACTGGTGAATATGAAAATTACTCTGGATATATTAAAAAAGAGAGAGAGATATTGTGGTGCTAAACTGCTAATAATAGAAGCTTTGATGTTCTATTGTTCTGGAACAAGCTGGACTACCTCTAGTCTCTACCTGCTTGTTTGCTTGCTGATGTCATTATTACTTTGTTAGTTAGATACTCGTTCATTTATGTATGTATAATTGTGTTTGTTTTATTTCCCCACATTCTAGAACTCTTTGAATAAAAAAGCTAGTGGAGGAAAATATAATCCCAATCAATTTGTTGTTGGTTTTGTTCACATTTTTTTGGTTTTTGAAACGTATAGTCGTCCAGAGAATCTTGGTTGTGACTGCCATAGTTTAAATTTGGCGAACTATTGGATTTAGGTATCTTAATCCTACATGTACTACAATCTTTATTGTTTCTCTAGAATGAAAGGAAAAATTGCCTATACCAATTTAACCTTTTGTCCTGTTCTTCCAAAATAATCTAACTTTTGAATTATTCCAAAGTAATCCAACTTTGTTACCTATTTACTCATAATAACCCTAACTGGTAACCAACCTATTGTAATTGGTTACCAATCCACATGTTATGTAATTGGTTTCCATTTTTTTCTTTTTTTATTTTCCCGGTTGGGTGGGGGGTGATTTAAGGGTGGGTAGGAGTGGTTTTCGGGTGGGTGGTAAGGTTGGTTATGGTGGTTGGGGGTAAGGTTTTGTGGAGGCCGGGGTTTGTTATGGGTAGTGTTAAGGCAGCAACAATGATCTAGTGAGGTGGTTGTGGTAAGGCGGTGCCAATGAGGGTGGTGAGTCTGGTGACAGTGGTTGGGCGGTTCTGGTGTGCAGTGGTGGTTGGACAAGTGTGATAAGTTAACATTGGTGTATTAAGTTAACATTTATTAAGCCTATTTTGACAGCTACTGAAATTATAAGAGAGATGAAGACTAAGTTAACCTTGGCGTATGGGAAAGAAGAGCAATAGGCTCTATTCTCTTCAATAATACCAGTTTAGTAAAAATCAGTAATTATAAAGAAAAAAATTAGGGGTGTAAATAATTCGGATTAAAATCGAACCGAACTAAAAACCAAACTGAATTAGTAATTCGGTTTGGATTTTTTTTCAAATTCAGATATGATCGGTTTGAAAAAATTGAAAAAATATAGATTATGGTTTATATTCGGTTTGAGATTTTTAAAAAAAAATTGAAAACCGAATTACAAACAAAATTATGGCTGGCAATCCCTGACTTGACCTGATAACATGACCCGAATCCGACCCGAAGTTATTGAGAGAAACCCGAACTCGACCCGAACCAAACCCAAACAACCCGAATTCGACCCAATTTGACCCAAATTTCATATTTCTTAATAATATTAAGTTTTACACTATTTTTGATAGTTTCTAGGCATAACCTGAAATCGACCCAAAATCTGACCCGAACCCGACCTACTGACCCGAATTGCCACCTCTACATTACATTAAGCCCATTTTCTCTTTTACAAAGTATACCAACCACTTTTCCCCTTTCATATATAAACCAAAATAAAAACCCTAATTCTCAATTCTCCTTTCTCAGTATCTCACAAAGTCACGGCTCATCACTCATGCCACATCTTCTCACTTTCTCCCACATTTCACACTTCGGTTTGCTTATCGGCCACATCTTCTCCAATTCTCTCTCCTCTCTCAATTTCTTCGATGTTGTTAGTGGAAAATGGATGCTAGAGGTGAATATATTTAACAAGAAAAGGTTGAATAATTGCAGGAATTTTTTGGGTGAAGTTCGGGTTTCGGATTTGAATGTTGTGAAAGGAGTAAATAAATTTTGTATCGTAGGGCCTTTGATTCGCCCACACTTAATCAGTTAGGTCATTTTGAGTATCAATTAATTTTGATTTGGGTCATTTTGGGTATAGTTCGGGTCACTTTGGGTTTCGGGTCAAATTTGGGTCGGGTATGGGTCTGGTCGGGTTAGTTTTGTATTCGGGTCAATTTCGGATTGACGTCTTCGGGTCAATTTCAGGTCACTGACTCACGGGTCGAGTCATTTGGGTCGGATCAATCGGGTCGGGACAGGATTGACAGGTCGAGTCATATGGGTCAAATCATTCGGGTCGGGACAGAATTGACAGGTCGAGTCTAGGTTGCTAAGTTGTTAACCCAAATATCTAATGGAGCTGAAAACGGTTAGGAAGTGGGCCAAGTGGAGATGGTCCAGCCTTGAGCCCTTAACCACAGAAAAACAAATTTAACTTTGTCACATAAAAAAAATCATTAAACAGAGTTAATCTCTTTCCACCAGAAAATTACCCACATAAAAATGGCTCATTCACTTCCTTTCTCCCATGTTTCACCGACAACAACTCTCTGCACAAAATACTCTTTAAATAATCATCTAACCCAAATCATCAACACAACCCATCTTAAAATAAAACCCAGAAATCTCCATTTCAGGAGAGAGAAAATACCCCCAATCATCCTTAACAGCGCAGAGAAATCAAAACCCTTAAATTTTCATTGGGGTATTTTCACAAACATGTGGTGGGCAAAACTCAAAGGAGCAATAGGCCAACGATTCAACCTCGAGGGCATAATTTCTTCCTCAAAAGTCCTAACAAACGACCCCCATTTACTCCTCCCACATCTCAGAATCTCGAACATTGGGTACATCAACTGGGAAGAACTCCATCGAAGAGGGTTCAAAGCCGTAGTTTTCGACAAAGATAACACGATTACATTACCTTATTCATTAAACCTTTGGGACCCACTTAAGGGTTCAATGGAGAGCTGCAAAGCCGTGTTCGGCGAAGGGAAAGTCGCCATATTGAGTAACTCGGTTGGATTGTACGAGTTTGATCCGGATTATTCGGGGGCGGAGGCGGTGGAGAGAGAATTGGGGATCGCAGTGGTGCGGCATAAGGTGAAGAAACCGGGTGGCGGTTCCGAGGAGATTGAAAGACTATTTGGGTGCAAATCAGTTGAGGTTGTTATGGTTGGTGATCGCCGGTTCACCGATATTGTTTTTGGAAACCGGAACGGGTTTTTTACGGTTTTGACTGAACCATTGACGGGAGATGGTGAGAATTTTGTGGTTAAGATGGTTCGGAAGATGGAAGAGTTAGTGGTTAGTAATTGGTTTAGGAGAGCTTTAAAGGCTAAGAGTCATTGTTTTTTAGCTAATGATGAAGTGGATTTGGTTCGTTTGGATGAACCATTGTAGTTTTTGATGGTTGGTAGAATTTAGACTTTGATTATAATTGTTTTGTTTTTTGCAAAGTGTTTTAGCATTGATGTGTTGTCAAGTTTTTTAAGTTGTGGGTGTTTAATGTACCTAGTTTGTCTTTGATTAATGTGAGATTTTTTGAGTGGAATTTTCGTATGAACATGATGATGATGTTTATGCCATACTTGGGTTTATTGAACTATGATGCAGTTGGAAATAATTTTGACCCTTGTGGATGTAAATAGTTTGACTTTTACACTTTGACTTTAACTATGAAGGGACTAAATAAAATAGCAAAATATTGTTAAAAGTTTTCAAAGAAGGAAATGAAGCAAGTAATAAAATATATTTTAAAAAAAATGTGAAACAAGTAATTATATAAGAAGAACCATGAGCTAAGTAGAATAAGTAGTCTATCTAATTACGTAATAATTAGTGGTTATCAATATATTTTAAGAAAAGTGTTTAATTCTTAACGATTATGATCTTTCTTTTCTTTATTAAATATATATATATTCTTATGACTTTATATTCTGCAACTTTGATTTGGAATCAAGCATTATCATGGTTGAGTGAATGTATAACTTCAAGCGGAAGGTGATGAATAAGTGATAAACTAAAGTGAAGTGTCAAAGTTGGTTGAGATTTGAAACGTACTAGATTCTACGATTTTTTCACCAAATACCACTGAGTTAATGCGTAATTCACCATATATCACATAAAATTTTCTAATTCACCATATAACACTGAGTTAATGTATATTAACACAGAATGCCTTTTTTTGTTAACTGCCGTTAGTAATTAAGTTTAATTATGCCACGTGGCTGTCACTTATTGGCTCTTATTAATATTGTCTAATTAATTAGTTAAATAAAGAATTAAAAAAAAAACAGCCACCACCTCCTCACTCCACCAACCCCGACACCCCCCTCCCCCACCAGCCCAGCTCCCCCTCCCCGCCGACGGCCTTGCCCAGCCTCCTCCCTCGCCGGTGGCCTTGCCCAGCCTCCTCCCTCGCTGGCACTCCAGAGCTCCCCCTACCCCTACCCCTGCCATCTCCCCTTCCCGTCCTCCTCCCAAACCAACAAAAAAAAAAACTACCATCACCATCCCTGCCCCAACCCGCCAGCCTAAATTCTCCTCCCTGTGCCAGTGTCGCACCTCCTCCAGCCGTGCGCTGGCACCGCCCCTCACCCAGCCTTGCGCCGGTTGCCGCCCCCTTCCACTGAACCACAAACTCCCCTCCCTCCCGCATCAAAATCACCAATAATTACGCCTTTTCGTCACCCAACTTCAGCAATTTACAACCCAGATCAACACCCATATCAATTAAAACTTTAAGAGAAAGGAGAACGATTAAGATACCTAGAAGACAAATTATCCAGCCGGAATCCGACCAAAACCCCCGTCGACGCTCCTCCCCTTCCCCTGAACCGCCGTGCGTGCATCTCCCATGAAAACCCTCTTCTCTGTCCGTTTCTCTCTTCAACTTCCTTTTCTCTTTGGTTTTCGGATAAGGTGCTGGGGTCGGGGTTGTCGCCGGTGGGGGAGGAGGGCAGTCGCCGGCCATCTAGGAAGTGGCTGGGAATGGGATTGTCGCCGGCAGGGGTGGCGGTGGCTTGTATTGGTGGTGTTTAATTTTTATTTATTTTTTAAAATATTTTTTCTAAATTTAATTAATTAAATAAATAATATCAATTAGAACCAATTACAAGCTGCCACGTGGCACAATTAACGTTAATGACAAAATGAGTTAACGGAAAAGGCATTTTGTGACATTTATGTTAAACTCAGTGTTATATGGTGAATTAGAAAATTTTGTGTGGTATATGGTGAATTACGCATTAACTCAGTGGTATTTGGTGAAAAATCCGTAGATTCTAATATGTTTGGCAAAGTATATTTAATTGAAATCCTTTTCTTAGCCAATAATATTAATCAAGGGACAAATTGTCCGAGAGTACATATGGAGAAACCTCCCTAGGACAGTGATTGACCCAATCTTGTTCGACTCCAATCGACACTAATTTAGCAAGATGGTGAGCAACAATATTGCCACCTTTTTTGACATACGACCACTTAACATAATCAAAGCCACTACTTACATACGAGATATCTTCTAGGACATTATCAAGCTCAGAAAAATAAATGTCAGCTTTGGAAAGACGATTAACTAGGACCTGACAATCCGACTCTAAAATCACTTTGTTGAAACCGTGTCTCTGTGCCAGTTTTATTGCCGTAAGAAGAGCTCTACCTTCTGCCACCTCCACTGGGTAGTAGGCCTTGACTCTACGAACAGAGGTAAACAACACCCTACCCCTACTGTCGCGAGCAACCACCTCCATGCCAACCCAGCCTTCTTGGTGCTAAGTATACCTGTTCAACTGGCCGGGCCGGGCCAAGCCTAATCCAAAATGGGCCGAGCTTATCCATGGGCCATTAAGCCCAGCTTGGCCCATTCAAAATGTATAAACAAACTACAACAACCATGAAGTAAACACAATATAAGAGAATTATAAAGGGCCTTTAAGGGGCCTTATAAAGGGCCTTAGCCAACAAGTTAAAAGTAGAGAACTGAGGAATGTTCTTGACACAAATTTGTTACAATCAAGTAACTAAGCAATGTTCTTGACACAAATTAGACACTTAATACTTATGAAACTCGAAGCTGCTCTACATATATTATAATTGTTCCAAGGCTGCTAGCTGTTCCACATATCTTTCCAAGTCTGCTAGCTGCTCCACCTGACATATCTTCACCCAACAACAACTTTGCAAACCTCATCATCAATCGCCTCCCCAAGTGGAAGTCCATTAGTTCGTTTTTTACACACTTCAAGCAAATGACGTATTAAATGAGATGTGCCACTATTTTTGTGGGCAATTAACTCCACTTTACAATGCTTACAAATAGCGATTTGTTTGCATTCTTTCCTTCCGTCATTTCTTGCCAAACTTTAGATTTCCTACTCCTTTTACGGGCGGCATTAGATTCATCAACCTCATCATCTGATGTATCGGCATTGACGTTATAGTTGCTTCACTTTCCATAGTTCGAGAAGGAGACAATGAAACTGCCACAAGCTGGAAATGATAGTAAGATAATGTATTATTAGTCAAAATTTTCAAAATCAAAATGCTTCAAACAAAAATCCCAATACATCATCATTCAATGAAGAGCTTAAAGATAGTGCACCCTACAATTTGGGAACAATCCCAAAATTATTAGGATTATTATACTAACTAGCTTCCTCATTCTTCACAACAACCCCAACTCAAAAACTAGATTTTTAGCTTTAGATTGAAAAAATCAAGACACCCATTTCATAATTTAATGAGCTTTTAAAAACCCAGAAAAATCACATACAAAATCAAGAACTTCCTCACTTTTTTTGCTGATTTTGTGCTGGTGAAAGTGTAACGGCTATAAAACAAACGGAAAATGTGAAACCCAGTAAATAATCTACCAAACGGATAAATGCAGATAATTCAAAGGGTAAAACAAGCTAAAAATGAAGAAAAAAAACTTAGATTTTGTGTCAGAAACAACCAAAAAATTATACAGTTAGAATAAGCTACTTAATTAAATCCACCACATCAACTCATAAACTTAAATCAATCAACAAACTACAATAACCAAAAACATTAAAAGCAAAAAAAAAAAAAAAAAAAAAAAAAAAACAAAAACCTGCGTAATTTCATATCAAAGCAATATAATCATGAATTTAATTAAATTTTACCAATAATTAAAGAAGAAGGGTGATAAATGGAAGATTGAGAACAACACCAAGAAGATTGAGAGTAGCAGCAAGAAGATTCACGTGAGCAGCAACAAGATTAACGGAATCTGGGAATTTTTTTTAGGGTTCATAATTTTGGGGAAATTGGGAATTTTTATTTTCAAGTATCATAATTTGACGTTAGGAAGTTTTAGAAACAGAAAAATTAGGATAAAAAAAGCCTCATAAGAGTTATCTAATTTTAGCCCTTTTTAACTTAGACCCAACTCTTTAAAAGCCCATTATTTAATAACCCTTTAAAAGCCCACCTTATTTAAATATTGGATGGATAAAACCCTTTTATAAAAGGGCTGGTTCAGGGCTTTAAATGGGCCCCTAACCCATTGAACAGGTCTAGTGCTAAGAAAGCATCAGCATTTAACTTCACAAGATTTGGGGGTGGAGTAACCCATTTCGAAGGACTGCTGCAGCTCTTTACCCAAACAGAGTTGTAAATTTTCTTAGCTTGCTGTATTTTCCATGCTCTTCCGCCAATCTTTCAACCCTCGCTAGCAGAATGTTGTTAGGAGTGCCTTTTCCCTTAAAAACCCACTCATTCCTCTCTGCCAGATCACCCAAGACAGGAAGGCAACATGTTGCTTCAGCTTTGCATTTGCTCCCCTCCATCTCACAACAAGATCACATATAGAACCTTCACGATCGTCAATCAAACTCAAACACCCACCATCTTCCCACAACTCACTCACACTAGCACAGTTAAATAGCGTGTGTGAGCTCGTCTCTTCAGCCCCCCCCCCCCCCCCCCCCCCCCCCCACACCATGGGAAATAAATATCCTCAATTAAATGTATAGAGTTAAGAAGCTTACGAGTGGGAAGAGTGTTTGTGCACAAGCACCACAGGAAGTGTCAGACTTTAGGAGAGACGTCCATGCCCCATATTTTAACCTATACTAGGTGAAAATCATCGAAATTACATCCCTTACCCAACATGTAAGATGTTTTTGTGGAGTACAAACCATCTTTTGAAAACGCCCAAATCGCTTGATCAACAAAAGCTCTCCTACTAATGGGAATCGAAAGAATACATTTCTGATCTCGCTCATTAAAATTGGAGAAAATTGATCAAGGTTCCACTCCATACTCTGAGAATCAATAAGGTCAGAAACCATGCTCGGCCCCTCCACCTGATCCAAAGTCACGAACCTCCCTTCACCATTAGCGAGCCAAGGATCTTGCCAGATGTTAACCCTCACCCTATTACCAATACGCCACAACATTCCTTCCTTCACTAACGCCTTTGCACGGCCATGCCTGTTTCCCGAGTAGCGCATCATTAAAATCGCCAAATCCTTAAAACCCATTCCATCCATACACTTCGGAGAGCACATTATATCCCACGATTTCCAATGTACTTTCCTATTCAAACCTTTATAACCCCAAAAGAAGCGTGACATACATTATCGGATTGTATGAATCACTGAGCTCGGAAATTTATACACACCCATCAAGTATGTAGGAATTGCTTGGATTACTGATTTCAAAAGTACCTCCTTACCGGCCCTCGACAAAAGCTTTTTTTTCCACTCCTGCAATTTCTTCCAGTATCTATCCGTAAGTTCTGTAAAAATGGTTTTTTTTTTATCTTCTTGCTAGAGTACCAAGGTATTTCCCATGTCTGTCAACCTGTCACATATTCAAAATGCCCATTAACTCACTCTTTTGCTCGGCGCCCACTCCTCAGCTAAAAGAAACCTCTGACTTCTCATAATTAATTTTCTGTCCGGATGCTTACTTCATACTTGTTGAGTATATCAACTATTACTTCACATTCCCGTCGGTTTGCTCTAGCAAAGAGTAGATTGTCATCTGCGAATAAAAGATGCGAGATTGCAGGGCCACTACGACTTGCTTTTGCTGCATGAATTTCCCTACTCTGAACTTTATTAGTAAGTGTGAGGAGGGTAGCCCGTCGTTGGGGATCCCACTTCCTCTATGCCCATGACCCTTTAAAAGCCTAGGACTTTACACTTTTGAAGGTGTGTTAGGATTTGAATTCCTGACTGTTTGGGGGACCTTAAATTAGAATTCATTCTATCATTACGCTTTTTGTAAGAAACTAATAGAGAGTTGCCAATGAATTTTAGGAAAACTCGTAAACCTCGTTCATGCCTTTCTCCTAAGTAGAGTTCAAGGGATATTTAGCATGAATCATAAGTTTACCCATGCCCAAATTGGTCTACTTGTACTAGAAATGAGTTTGGGAGCGAGGGTACTAAAATAACGTTCCCTTTAGGGGGGAATCACTATCTTACCCCAAGTGCGGCCTCTACTAGCTCTCCCTTTTTCACAATTTCATCACCAAACAATATATGCAACGTGATACCTAAAACTAAGTTAGTTGATTTTATTTACACACGCTAATCACATAAAGATTACATTACAACGGATGTCGTTATTCTTATTTAGTCCAAATTTGTGAAAGAAAAAAAAGTAAACAAGATTCGTCTTGGCTTAGGTGATAAAACAATCAATTAATTTGTCCGATTCTAGTCTTGTTTTAACGAAAGAATACTATCTCAAACTAATTATATAAATGATTATTTTAACGTGATCAAACAACACTAATTAATTAATTTAAGTGATTTAGAACAAGATAAAGTAATGTGATTTTATCTAAGCGCTCGGGAATTTCCACTTTTCTTTGCTAGATCTTTGTTCAGAATGTTTATGGACACCTTCTTGTTGGGGAACCTCCACCGTAAGAACAAAGTAATTAAAAGGGTGAGTGTTTGGGACAAGAGGGTTGATTATTGCATAAGTTCATAAAATGTTACTGCTGACCTTTTGGCTATTTTTTTGTCTCTTTTGAGCTCATATTGAACCTTTGTTTATAGGGAATGGGTAATATTAGGGTTTCAGAGATTCTGCCGCAGCAAGTGGCGCGCATAACTGTGATTGCTGCGCGCGGATGAGTGAAAGAGTTGCGCTGCTCCGAGCAGCGTAACCTCTAGTCTTGCGCGTGGCTCTATGGTAAGATTTGATTCAGTATATTTTTGAAATTATGAATCTTCCGTAAGCGTAACCTCTAGGCTTACGGAAGATTCATAATTTTAAAAATATACTGAATCAAATACCACTGAGTTATTGCAAAATTCACCATATACCACACAAAATTTTCTAATTCACCATATAGCACTGCGTTGGTAGTGGTCTGGGTGTTCGGTCAGAGGAGAGAGAGAAGGTTTTTTTTTTTTTTTTTTTTTTTTAATTTTTTATTTAAGTAATCAATAATATTAATAAGAACCAATTACAAGCTGCCACGTGGCATAATTAACCATAATTACTAACGGCGTTAACGACAGTTATAAAAAAATGGCATTCTGTGTTAATGTACATAAACTTAGTGCTATATGGTGAATTAGAAAATTTTGTGTGGTATATGGTGAATTTTGCAATAACTCAGTGGTATTTGATGAAAAATCCGTTTTTTTTTTTTTTTTTTTTTTTTTATCTTTCTACTGATTCTCAAGCTAATCACGTTCATTCATTTTTTAGACTTGGGGGTATTCGTACATGCCTTTTCTAGCCCCCAAGACGCCCGGGCCATTTCGCTTCCCTATGGGCCAACGTCTGGTCAGGATAGGGAAGAGACGAGCTACTGCACTCGACGACTTTCGCCAGAGGATTCTTTCGGCGACTCGTGTGTTGGTGAGTATAGTTTTACAACATATGTTCATAATATTTTGTTTTAGCCATCATATTTTTTTTGTGTTTGACATGATGTTGTATTTTGTTGGTCGACCTTTGCCCTTGGGGCTTGGTCGTTGGGGTCCCAGAGGCTGTCCGGGAAGGCGGCGTTCGCTGCCGTTTCTAGGCGCTTTATCAGGGACTCTCCTTGGCTCACCGGACAAACGCGTGGTTTTTAAGCGAGCGGGTTGTCTGGCAGTTCTCGTCCAAGGGGCCTTTGGATCCTGCGGAACCTCCAATTAGGATGCTGTGTTCGGACCTGCTGTCTACCGAGGACCGATCTCAAACGATCTTTGGTTATCTTGCGGAGTAGCTGGTGCTGCCTGGGGCTTCTTACTAGGATTTTGTTGCATCCCTGTTGACTCATTTTCCAGATTTTGTTCCGGGTTGTCTTTCTTTCTTTGGATTTTATTATTATTTATTTTTTTGACGTTTGAATATTGACCTTATTTTGTTTTTGTAGTCTATTATCTTTTTTTTTTTTTTTTTTTTTTTTTTTTTTTTTTTTTGGTACTGGGTCGTTCTGGGTGGTTGGGTTTCCGCTGAGGCAAAGGTTTCGAACACCGACGCTTTTGGATCGGTGATCCACGAGACGTTTTCGGCGGCTGTGGATAAGGACATACGGTACATCCCAGAAACGGCCGAGTCAGTATGTTTTGTTTCGCATATGTATATATCTTTATTTATCATATACGTTTTTTATAACTTTCCTTTTTGAAACAGGTTCCGCGGGAGACCGTGAACGGCATGGTAAGGACCCTTCGAGCTTTCTGAGCTACTTATTGGAGGGCTCTCGTGGCTTTGTCATGTCGTGATCATCGGATGGTTGCGGTAATTTTTTTTATCTTTTTTTTTTATTTTTTTTATTTTTTTATTTTATCAAAGTTATTACATGAATGTGTATTAATCTTTGATTTTGATTTTGTAGGATGTGTAGCAACCTTCCGGGAGTCGCCGAGCACCGTGATTCCATTTTTTTCGTTTGTTATTTTTTGTTTTATGGAAAATGTATATATATTTTATTTTTATGCCTACGACATTGTACATACGACGTATTTTGTATATATCGTCATTTGACTTTTGTCGTATTTTATATTTTTCATAAAATATTAAAAATTCCAAGGGTTCCCGACTTACCCCCCTAAAGAAAAAGAACGACTGAAAAAGGAAAGGGAACGAAAAGAAGAAAGGAAAAAAAAAAGAAGTAAGAAAAGGAAAAAGGAAATAAAAAGGAAAAGAAAATAAAGGAAAATAAAAATAAAAAGGAAACAAAAGGAGAAAGGGAAAGAGAAAAGAAAGTAAGTAACAAAAAGGCAAGCGTGTGAGTTAATCATAAAACCGTAATAAAATTTCCATTATTCACAAAGTAAAATAAGGAAAAAAGAAAAAAAAATTCGCTGCGACAGATTAGGCGCACGCAACACTGAGGGTTTCGCGCAGACGTCGCGCACAAGTGAATTAGTTTCGCATGGCTGCCGAGTGCAACTTCTTGAGTTGCGCGCGGCACCTGCGTGTAGACTTTCCTTTGAGCATATTTT